TGCCAAATGTCTTCCACGTGGCAAAAAAAAAATTATTTTTAAAAAACCATGAATTAAACAACCCCTCTTTTCCCTCCCAAGCATCCCAACATCCCTAAACCTGCAACAACAAGAAGAAGAAGGAGGAGGAGAAGGAGGAAAAAAAATCCCAAAAATCACCTTCGCGCAAGAGGGGATCGGTGGTGGAAGGGGGGGAAGGGAGCTGGGTCGGGGTAGGGGACGGTCGTTGGGCGCCCCCCCGGGGGGTGGGGATGGAAGGGAGTTGGGTTGGCCTGGGGGGACGGGAGGGATAGTTTCAAATTTTTTTTTTTTTTTTCCTTTCTTCCTCCCTCTTCCTCTTCTTCTTCTTCTTTTTCTTGTTGCAGATGTGGGTTAGTTGGGAAGGGGGGAGGGATAGTTTCAATTTTTTTTCTTTCTTCCTCCCTCTTCTTCTTCTACTTCTTGCAGATTGTGGGTCGCTGCGTATTTCAATTTTTTTTAATTAAAAAATTATTTTTTTGGCCACGTGGAAGACATTTGGCAGCCATATGACATATATGTGGCAGCCACATCAGCATTTAATGGATCAATAGATGGAAAATTGTAACATAGGTATTATTTTGAAATAAAATAGTATTTAAGGTATGAAAGTGAAATGTTTTGAAGATGTTGTAAGGAATTGAAATAGACCCCAAACCTGAGATATGAAAAATGTAATTTACCCTAAAACAAACTTTGGACTCAACTATAATTTCACCACTATTATTGCACTGTAAAAGCATGGGCAGATCCACGTAGAGATTCGGGTGCTCTCTGAACCCTCCGCAGGTTGGGGAAAATGCTTGTGGAGGTTCGGAGACCCTCTGAATGTCAGATAGGAGCTTTTTTTTTTGTATCCATCAAGTGTTTGACAAAATGCATTTTTGAAATATCTTGGTAGCATTTGGCAAGACGTGTTAAATAAAATGACATAGGATCTTGACATCACTTGGCATATTACTTCGGCATTTGTTGATATAAACATATTTGACGATAGGTTCACTAAATAATTAATAAACCCTAAATATTTTACAATGGGACCCATAAGATTAGAATTTTGAATTTCACTGACTATAACCTATCATTTCCCTATTGTTTAATTCATGATTATTTCTCACTGATATAATAAGTTGTCGTATGGGGACTAAACTATTAAATAAAAAATTAAAGGTGTTTCCTTAACAATCAGAAATTTCTTATTGCTAAAGGCACATTAATAATCACAATCTTTCTTGCTTTACACGGAGAAAAAGGGGGTATTTGCAAATTGCTATCCTTTCCCTGCTCCCAACAATTGTGGAACCCAATGTAAATTAATTAAATATCGATATGTTTACTATGGTCATTGCACCATACATGTGATGAGCCTCTGAAAGTCATTGAAATAAGAATAATGTATTCTTAATGGGAATGATGTATTCTACTCCCTACTAATAACGTATTGTTGTTGTATTAATTTTCAATCAAAACCGTTCTAGTTCATAACCTTCACTTGAAGATCATTCTACCAAAATTATTCGTATCGAAAATCACTTAATTATCTAAATGAAAAGTTCATTATAAATATGTTGCTTACTACTCAACCTGTCAAATTGTTCCGTACTTGAATGCATCAATTGTCTCCAGTTCGGATGTATTTTGTATGGTTCATTTTCAAATGAAAATTGAGAAACAGAATGATTCGAGTCACAAAATTTATACGATAAATATACGTCATTTGTAAGGGATAAGATATGTGCATCCTCTCTACGAGGGAATGCAAATATCACGCTTAAAAGATAAATAATGCAGTAAATAAACTCACTGTTAGCACAAGTGTCAAATTACCATGCATGAGCCTTTTCTTTGATTGGGCAGTAGAGTGCGGAGCCAGTCATGATTTACTCATGAGAAATTGACAATCCAAAATTAAGCTTACTCATAAGATGGATCCTGCCCCTCTCACAGGCACATGCACATGCACATGCTGGAGAAAAGCTTTGTGGTACAACCATATGGTTGCAGCTTGATCTAATCCTCGATTGAGATGGTCGGTGCCATCTTCGCCATATACCACTCTCTCTTCAGATTTCGTGTTTATATGACATTAGAGTGTTTGTTATTATAACAATCTGATATGTTAGGTTAAAAAAAAACTGTAGAAATTATTGATGAAACATATATTGTTAAGAGTGAATCTTACATCGAGAAAAAGAGAAATTTTGCATGTGTTTATAAGAGGTTTAGCTACTTCGTATATTGCTAATTGATTTTATGGTGGAACCTCAATTTTCTTCATGGTTTCAGAGCAAGTTCTCACATGTGTAAAGTCCAACAGCCACACACGCTCCAACTTATCCGATTTGTGTTGTCATGTATTAGGCTTAAACATTTGCCATACGTGAGAGGGCTTGTTGAAAGTGAATCCTACATTGAGGAAAAAAGACCGTGCATGTGTTTATAAAAGGTTGAGCTACTCGTTATATTGATAACTAGTTTTATGGTGGAACCTTATTTTTTTTATTGTTATCATTATTTTAGTTGCATGTTTGAATCAACGGTTTTAATTGATTTGCATTATATGTCAAAACGTGCATGTCAGTATCTCATCACATAAAGGAACGATGATCCTCGCCATATCCTGGAAATCCTCAAATCACATCCGTTTATCGTACATCGTGTGGTAAAAAATTATTGTAAATTTTTTATTTAAAATTAAATATAAACAGTACTTAACAAAAACTGAACGCACGATGTATAATGAACGAATATGATTGAAGGATTCTCGTAATCCTCACAAAGAGGTTCTGGCAAGGATCTTCCCTCCACATAATAAAGAGATATTGACACATACGTTTAATTAATGTTATTTTACATTATAGGTTGAATAATGCACATCAAAAATGTACTGTAAGATATGGCTGATAGTTCTCATGATTACCACTTTTCTTAGTTCTTTATGGGGTAAATAAAATGAGATTGTCTAAAATCAATTAATTACGATGGGGTCCAAGATATCAAATTAGGAAACAATGATTTTTTTCTAAAATTTGCTTATTCATTCATGTTAAGAAAAATCAAGAAACCTTTGTCAAATCTGATCACAATGGCAAAAAGAGAAAGTCATTTGTTATTTTCCGAAAAAAAGAGAGGAAACTTGTGTTATTTGTGGTTTACTACCATTGGTTTTAGTCTCCTTTTTGACATCGTACAGTTAACTCTAATTTGCATACAAAACAAAGTTAATTCTAATTTTAACCTTATATTTTGAGACCCACTTAGCTCACAATGTTACCAACACTCTATGAATAAGGTCTTCTGTTCGGACACCAAACAAGACTAAGATCATGTTCAATAGAGAGGGTTGAAGATTTAAGAGCCAAAAGATAATCTGGTTTGTTCAAAAACTTAGGGGTGTGTCATTAGAGTCTTTCTGGTATGTAGGAATTTGAAGTTCCTGACGTCGGACGCAAGAATTTCTCTTCTAATTGATTCAATGTGGGGCCCTTTAACATTATTTTCCATTTTTACTTTGTCAAAACTAAATATTATTCAATGATGCACAATTAAATTTAAAATGACACTTCAATAAAAGAGAAACCTAAACCCCAATCAACAAGAACATTTCTCACTCACAAATACGAGTTGGATTTTATAAACCGGATTGTGGAGATCCTAAGGATCCTCACATCTTAGCCATTCATCGTGCATCATGCGGTCAAAAATTATTTAACTTTTTTTAATTTAAAATTAAACACAAATAGTACCTAATGAAAATTGACAACACGATATACGATAAACAGTTAGGATGTGGGGATCTCTAAAATCCCCACAAAATGAATCTCTCCTCTTCCTTGAGTGCTACTTTGCTCACTTCTTAAAGTAAGAGTGATGCTCACTCTCTTCATTAATTGGCTTAAATTAATTTAACTTAATTGATGTAACACACGAATTACAAAATTATAACTAATTACCCTCGCTTTAAGCGGTGAGTAAAAATAAATTCAATATTTTTGTGGCAGGAAGAAATGAGTGGGATTTTCAACTTCATGCATCGTAGATTCGTAATTTGAGGAGAAATTTTTAGTTGTAACGAGAACACAAGTAGTACACAACGTGTTTTAATAATAATAGTAGAAAATTTTAATTGTTAAGTTATTAACTTTTTAGCATACATATCCTACCTATTTAGTTAGTGACACGTAATGTACTATACTGTATACCAATCACACTGAAAAATCTCTTGTAACTTGAGGAAGTGCAGTGACATCACCACCATCAACAAGACACCGTCCTCCCATCATTCCACGCGGCAAGATCCTACCGGCTACCGACATTAAACAGCCGCCGGCTCACATTGCTAACGTGCGCCCACTTTCGCCTTCGACGCGCGAACTCCTTGTGATATTATACTCACTCTCTCTCTCCCCCTCTCTTAATATCAGCACCAAACAACGTAAAATTTTCTCGAACTTTATTGGTAAATCGAAACCTACAGTAAGTCTCTCTGTCTGTCTTCCTTTGTTTCGATTTCTTCCACATTGTTTCCTGTTCAATGTTTTAAAGTTTGTTTATTTTTAGCTGTTAACAGACTGTAAATTTCTGTAATATTGATTCAGCTCCGAAAGAGGCGCAACTTACGGAACAACCCATTCCTTCTGAATTGTTGACTGGAAAACTGGTTTGTCCTAGATTTGGGCGATTTCAGTTTGTTAAGGTTGCATCTGTTACTATATTCTTGTTCCTCAAATCTCTATATCTCACTTGGAAAAAAAATAAAGTTCTCTGCTTTGCTTTTTGGAGCTGAATATATAAGCTTTTGATTTAAGTTGTGTGGGTGTGTTCTTTGTTGGTGCAAGTTTTGGGATTTGGGATTTGGGTTTCTGTTGATTTGGTGATTGATTGTGTTGATTTGGTGATTTGGGTTTTTGTGGGATTTTGGTGATTGATTTGGGGGATTTGGGATTGCGGGAATTTGGTGAATGATTAGGGATTTGGGATTTTGGGTTCAAATGGGGTGTAGGAAGGTTGCTTGATTGAGTGGATTATGAATTCATTGAGACGCCGCTCTCCGGACAGTGCACCTGTGGAGCCAATGGAGAAGGGGACAGGAAAGAGTCAGAATACCAGGATTTGTTTCTTGGCCTCTTTGTCTGTGTTCTTCTGGATGTTATTGTTCTACTTCCATTTCGTTGTGCTGGGAGGTAGTACCGTGAATGAATCTGTCAATATACAAGCCGCTCCTGTTTACACCGAGGTGAAGCCTACCCTTGGAACTAATGATCTTCAGATGGACAGCAAGAGCATTGTATCGACACCTACCCCTGTAGCCCGTTATCATCAGACGGACAACCAAAACACTGAATCGACACCTACTGGTGTAACGGTTGATCTTCAGATGGACAACCAAAACACTCAAGCGACACCTACCTACACGGATGATCATCAGATGGACAACAAAAACACTGAAGCGGCGCCTACTAGTGTAACCGGTGATCAGCAGATGGGCAACCAAAGCACTGGATCAACCCCTACCAATGTAGCCAGTGCTCAGCAATCGGAGGCCCCTGCGAAAATCGATCACATCAATGAAGTGGAGAAATATCCATTCATGAGAGCATTGAGAACTGTCGAAAACAAGAGTGATCCATGTGGTGGGAAGTATATTTATGTGCATGATCTTCCATCGAGGTTTAATGAGGATATGTTAAAGGAGTGTAGGAGTCTAAGCCGTTGGACAAATATGTGCAAGTTCACAACTAATGCTGGGCTCGGGCCTCCACTTGAGAATGCAGAGGGTGTGTTCGGGGATACGAGTTGGTATGCCACAAATCAGTTCGCTGTGGATGTCATATTTAACAATCGGATGAAGCAATATGAGTGCTTGACAAATGATTCGTCTATCGCTGCAGCTATTTTTGTTCCCTTTTATGCTGGGTTTGACATTGCCCGATACCTTTGGGGATTCAACATATCAAGGAGGGATGCGGCTTCACTTGATCTGGTTGACTGGCTTATGAAGAGGCCAGAATGGGGCATTATGGGTGGCAAAGACCACTTTCTTGTTGCAGGAAGGATAACATGGGATTTCAGGAGACTGTCAGAGGAAGAATCGGACTGGGGTAACAAGCTTCTCTTTCTGCCGGCTGCTAAGAATATGTCTATGCTTGTGGTAGAATCAAGCCCGTGGAATGCTAATGATTTTGGTATTCCATATCCCACATATTTCCATCCAGCAAAAGATGCTGATGTTTTCGTTTGGCAGGAGCGAATGAGAAGATTAAAGCGTGAATTCCTTTTCTCTTTTGCTGGTGCCCCGCGTCCTGACAATCCCAAGTCAATTAGGGGGCAGATCATTGATCAGTGCAGGAGTTCAAAGGTTGGTAAGCTGTTGGAATGTGATTTTGGGGAAAGCAAGTGTCATTCTCCAAGCAGTATAATGCAGATGTTTCAGCGCTCTCTTTTCTGTCTGCAACCTCAAGGTGATTCATACACACGAAGGTCTGCTTTTGATTCAATGTTGGCTGGTTGCATACCTGTCTTCTTCCATCCTGGGTCGGCATACACACAATATACTTGGCATTTACCAAAAGATTATACAAGGTATTCAGTGTTCATCCCAGAGGACGATATTCGCAAGGGGAACGTTAGCATAGAGGAAACACTTAGTCGAATTCCTCCCGAGCAGGTGAAGAAAATGAGGGAGGAGGTCATAAACCTTATTCCAAGTATGATATATGCCGATCCCCGCTCAAAGTTGAGGATTTTTAGAGATGCCTTTGATGTTTCTGTACAGGCAGTTATTGACAAAGTTACAAACTTGAGGAAGGACATCATCGAAGGCCGTATAGATGATAACTTCATTGAAGAAAACAGTTGGAAGTATGCTTTGTTGGAGGAGGGACAACGTGAGGTAGGAGCTCACGAATGGGATCCTTTCTTCTCGAAGCCGAAGGATGGGAACGGAGATTCTGTTGATGCATCTGCCGAAGCTGCCAAAAACTCTTGGCATAATGAACGACGACATCAATCATCGGGCAGATAACAGCACAGCAATAAGGATTCCACTGATAGCTAATGCATGAAGACAACCGATCAGCGGATGAGCCTTCCCGCATTGAGTTTCGGCTGGTATTGTCACGAGCGCTCATCACTGTTGTCGCCCTCAAGATATCCAGGCCCCAGAGTCTTGTTCAAATCCAAAACATATACGCATTCTGCTTCTAGTGCTTTTTTTTTTCTTCGATAGAAAAGTTAATGTTTCTGCATTACGTAATTTTGTCTAGTAATTCTTTGCCATGTCATTTAGCCGAGTTTTTCGTGTTCGTATTTACTTACAGGAAATAAAAATGAGTATAATTATGGGTCCTCTACCATACAAGCGAATGTGTACGATGTTGCATGGATACAATTTCCAGGAGCTATATATGTCACCATAAGCTTCTGCTTCTGCACAAACCTAACTTCTTTCTTCTTTTGTTTTGTAGGCCGTGAACTTGGTATGTTCTTTATACAACAATTTGGGCCGGTCTTTCGGATCACAGGTTTTGCCAAGTCTGAAAACAAATGTCAAAAGAACTGTGATTAATGAAAAAAAATGTGGGATAGAAGATGAGCAATTGCACACTATTTTATTTACCAAATGGAAAAAATTGTACCTTTGTGTGCATAGCATTTGCAACCTCTCTTTAAAGTCCACGCATTAATTTAGCGGGGTTCTAGGCTGTCTCCGGTGTATCCCCTTCTCTCTCAAAAAGAAGGGGATGCATTTCCGGTAGGTCCCGTGGTGTGAGATACAAGAGAAAGAGAATGTATTATGTCTCTTGGTTCTCAACAGACATTAGTAAGTAGGGAGCTGTTGACGGTTAAGCAAATATCAAATATACAAAATTCTACTATATTCGGTGTATGACATGCATTAAAGCAATGAATGATTAGATGTGGATTGAAAGGTCCAATGAATGATTCAACAACCAAAACTCAGAAGTTTCAACTATTTCTAAGGCACATAAACAATCAAACTGACAACTGTTGTTTAGTTTTTAATTCTACGAAGATCTAAAACGAGATTGTCACTGCATATAATATAATGTCGTGATGGTGATTAGTGGTGTCTTGATTCATTTGAATCATTTGCCCTATTATTCTTGGATCAATGAACTTCTTGCTTCAACTGCTTATAGATTTTTTTTTAAATTTTTTACAAATGTTTAGTGGTGTCGTGAATGATGAGGATCAAACTTGCACCATGGTGCATAGATATGATTGCTTTTCGTCATAGGCATGATAATTGTTTTCCGTCACTGTGGTAACGCACCACATGCCCCCACATATTAATATTATGAATATACTAAACACAAGAATTTATTATTAAACACAAGAATTTATTATTAAACACAAGAATTTAGACCCCATAATATTTTAAAAAGGAAAATTATTTTATGAATTCATACACTAGGGAGGATCCTCACTGGATCCTTTGTGAGGATCTCGCGGATCCTTCAATCACATCAAATTCATCGTGCAGTCATTTTTCGTCAGGTGCTGTTTATATTTAATTTTAAATAAAAAAAATTACAATAATTTCTGACCGTACAATGTACGATGAACGTATATGATTTGAGGATCTCCGGAGTCCTCACAAAAAGATCCCTGGGATCCCCACAAAGAGGATCCGGTGAGGATTCTCACTCTTCATACACCACCGTATCATGTTTAACCTGTATTCTGTTTTTTTTTTTTAAAGCTCTCAAAGCACTCTCACTCTTTATAGTAGAACAAACGCGTTTAATAAAAAATATTTTTGACGAATGAAACATGAAATTAAAATTTTAAAAACAATAATAACCTGAATTTAAGAGACAAAGAAAGGAAAATAAAACTGTGATTGTTGCAGTCCTATTAGAATGAGAATGTGATTGTGTAAATCCTAATGTATCTAGGGATATCTTTGAATATTCCCTTTAGTAGTTAATATCTTATTAAAGTTGTAATCTTAAAAGAGTAAGGAATTAACCTTCCCTACTACTATAAACAAAGGCACAATGAGGTGAAATAGAACACACATCACAATTATGCATCTCTCTCTTCTCTCTCTATGCCGCACTCTCTCCCTCTCTCTACGGCCTCCATAATCGTTCAGTAAATTTTGCATACAACATGTTATTAGCACGCTCTTGATGCTGCGCTAAAAAGAGATTATTCTTCAATCAGATGAGTATTACGCTTTAATCATTCTTTTTATGATTAATATTATTATTTTATTGAATTGATCTACATGCTATTGATTCAATTTAATTTTTCTATGTGATATTCCGACTTTCTGAGAAGGATTTTCTACAAATTCAAAGGTTTTTCTTGTTTTTTACCAATCAGGTACCTTAAAATAAATGAAGATATTTGACACGACAATGAAGCATGAAAACATTCCTCATAATGCATGAACCCCCTATATTTATATTTACCTTCCGATATATATATATATATATATATATTGTATATGTTGATATATTTGTCAATGAGAATTGTTATTAGCACTACAAACTTTTTATAATTAGAAAGAAAATTACATTTGTGAGGAGTGTAGAACAGAAGGATCACTCATCTGGACAATGTGGGATGTCACATTTTAGTTAAGATTGTTAAGGTAAAATAAATTTTAGTTAAATTTGCGTTGACGAGAGAAAATAATGGAATGATTCCATATGAGCATAAACATGGAAGGAAATCCAGGTTAATTCTTTAAAATTATATGGCTCATCATATTAAACTTTTTTTTGCCAATTAATTGAGGGGAATATATTATGAATAAATTGATTGCGTACTTGCTATTCTTGAAATTTGAAATAAAGACACACTTACAAATAAAAATAAATACTACTAAACCGTCATTCAATTATTGACAACTCCTTTTCGAGTTCTAATTTCTGTGTTTCTGACCTGAGTGAGAATAAATGGTTTGGGTGAGTAGGGGATATTTAAAACCAACTTGGAAGGACTAAAAAGATGGCAACAGAATGGAAAGACAAAGAGCATGCCTATTTATACATACAAGAGTACAAAACTAACACTTTTATTAAAAAGTACCCAAATTAGATAGTGTATTAGCAAAATGTGTCAGTCTTTACGTGTCCAAACATAACTGCACCATTGCCTATTTATTGATTGGTAAAAACTGGTTTCCATGTCCATGTATAGGATTGTTGAGTCAACGAGAAAGGAAAGAAGTGGAAGACACAGTAGACTGAAACTACTTCAACACAAGTTTGTTATTAGTTGATTGTTTATTCGATGCGCATTTCTCCGCTTGTTGTTTGGGTTCCTTTTATTCCAGTTATTGGAATCGTTCAATACCTTGATGGCTTTAGGTAATTAAACATAGATGGTTCTAAGTCCTTGATGCTTATTTTGCTTCTATTACAGAGTTTGTGAGTTTGGTGGCTGCAAAAATTGTAGCTTTTATTGAGGCAGTACGTGAAGCTTGGGTCCGTGATGGAAACACCTCTGGATGAACATTAACCAATTCCCCTTTGGTTCTTCACCACTTATACATACTGGTGCTTTGGTTGTTGCTAAACAATTAAAATAAGAGAACTTTCATGGAAAGGGCTTGAACTAAATTTATCTTGATAAAAAAAAATCACGCTATAACTTTATTTAATGAAAAATACTTAAATTTTAATGAAAAACTCCTAATTTTTTTGAAAAGAAAAAAAAAAGACAAAAAACCTTAAATTTAAATGAAAAAGACATAATTTTAAGGAGAGACAATTGGAATTGCCAAGATGGAAGGAGATGAAAGATTTGAGGTTTTGAAGGCAGATAATAGCAGAGAGATTCATAAAGGATAATTGATAAACCAAATTTCATTGGATAGGATTAGGAACCCTTATTCCCCAAGAAAATTCGGAATATATAAACTTTACTTAGGGTACAAGCTATAACTATTAACTAAATCTTAATTTTATTTATATTCAAACGTCGGACACCATTAGCCGTTGGTGTGAGAATCTCTAAGGCTAGGGCCCAATTGGGTGTTAGAATCTTGACTTTATTTGGGAATTTTGGTTGCCAGTTCGTAGTTGGCCCTTGTCTGCAAGTGAATGACGTAAGGTGACCAGGCAGAAAATGAGACATGCAGGAAAAAACCGGTTAAAAAACCCTAAAGTTGGATCAGCAGCCGTCGGTGTAATATGAAGAAACATTCAAATTTGAGTAATTAGTTTCCTCATTCTTCTTGGAAGTTGGAACATATATTCCTATTTCCTTTAGGAAATAGGAAAAAGTAATTGAGTATACGGTACACCTATAAATAAAGGGTTTAGCCTGTTTTCTAAGGCGCATATATTCAACCTTCAACTATTCTTCTGATAAAGCATCAATGTCTTCTTTATCTCATCATGTCTCAACCTAGAAAATATCAATCTTTTGTTTTGTAAAAAAATACATCCCTTCTACTTTTGACATCATGCAATCAGGTATATATGCTTTTTATGTTGTTACATGCATATCTTGTTCTTACGCTTTTTTACAGAAATTATCGAATTGTGCACTAGCTTATATACACAAAGGCTAAAAAGAAAAAGATCAATCTTTTCCTTGTTTCTTGCCACACCATTCCACAAAACACTTCTTTTTTTTATCATCGTCAACTCTCTGATGTTTTTTCTTTTTTGCTTGTCAGATTGGGCGAACTTGTCAACAGATGTTTTGTCTTTAATTTATGACAGGTTGTCTATTGTATCAAATTGCATACAATTCGTGGCCGTTTGTAGGTCATGGCATTGTATGAAAAAGGATAGAAAATGTAAACGTGCTAGGTTGACAACTCCAATGGTCTTGGTTTCTGAGAGGAAAGAAAATACATAGTATGCATACGATTTTGTGAACAATCAAGTCCTTGGTTTGCAACTAGAGCTACCAAAGAAGCGATTTTGTGGGTCTTCCAAAGGATGGATAATAACAGTGGAGGCGAATTTTGTTGTAATCCTAATGAATCCACAATTTAATGTTAAACGGTGGACAACGAGGCCAATCATTCGTCTTTCTCAACTAAAACCTGTAATTAACCGCAGAATACGAGGTTTTGTTAAAGCTCATTATGACTATTTTGTCGTCAAGGCTACGATTTCAGCAGACCCGATCTCAAACTCCAAAAATTGCGTTGTTATGGTTCTATATGAGCCTCTTAGTCAGTTGGCTTTTATTAGACTTGGTAAAGACACAAGATGTAATTATATTGATAAGCATGGTGATGATATCTATACATTTATTAGAGGTGTTGTTCTAATTGAAGATAAGATTTACACCGTTGATGATTGGAGCAACCTTTGGGCTTTTGAATCTACATCCAAATCCACTGTAGATGTACAATTGGTTGCT